GTCCCGTAGTCATCATCACCTCCATCGATGGCTCGCTGCCATGAGAAGGTGTCGATCTGCTCCTTGAACTCCTGGTAGGTGGAGATCTTGTTCTCGATGTTCTGTACATTCCCTTCAGGTGGAGGGCGTCGAACATGTAGTAGTCCGTGCCCAACAGCTTCGTACTGTCCGTCATTCCACTGTCGGACCGCCTGTTGCACTTGTTGGGTCTCCTCAACAAGTGTTTGGACAACCTTGTCGATCTCCTCCGGGTACAGCGGGTACTGGTTGACGACCTTGGCTATGCGTGAGGTGGCGTAGTCCTTGGCGTCGGGGAAGTCGTCGGTCAGGAGGTCCTCAGACAAGTCCTTGTAGAGGGTCCTCTCCCATTCGTTCCAGTCAGCCGCTGCCGCCACGTCCACGTAACTCCCAAGCCCCTTCGGGGGGGCTGGGGTGTAGTGTTCCTTACTTTCTTTCCGTCTGTGCCTGCTGCCGTAGCCTGGCTTGACCTCCCCAGTCTGCACTCCTTGGGCGGTCATGCTGTCCACACACCGCTTGGATGCTCGAAGATGGTCTTCCAGTCGGGCCGTCGACCAGAACTCAACCTGGCATGCTCTACACTTTGTTCCTTCAACAAACTTTCTGTATAGAGCAGTGCGCTTATGGACCGCAAAGAAGTGCACGCCCAAAGCCGCTCTTGTTCCGAACGGCTTGTCACACATTCTGCAGCTCCACCTTGGCGTACTGTCCTGTGTACCTTGCCGTTGTTGTAGGTCTCGCTGTAGGGCCCAAAGGCAAATGTTGCCGATCTCCTTCTTCTGGTAGGCCTCGAAGTCGCTGTTCATCCGGCGGGCAACCGCCCTCTTGACTTTCATAGGCGACTCCTTGAGGAGGTGCCACCATTCTGGCCATGTGGCAGAGGAGACTGCGGGCCATTTGTCCTCGTCCTTGCCAACGAGCTTTTCCAGGTCACGGCGTGCTTGAAGAATCCACTGTCCCTCCTCCTGCAGCATGCCCCACAATGTCGGCGGGGCTGCTTTGACAAGGGACACTAGCAGGCTGACTCTTGCCCTGAATGCGAGGATCTCAAGGGGGCGGCATTTTGTAATCACATGCCCCACCGGCGTGGGTAAGTGGAAAATGCTCTTTCCTTTGATCTCCCGCCCCAGGAGCCGTCTCACCTGCCTCGAGTAGCCATCCGCCAGGTGCTGCCACTGTTTGCCCTCCGGTTGCCAAAGGGCCAAGTTGAAAAGCGTGGGGCTCACCGTTGCCTCGAATAGCTTCCCTCTGGTCTCAATTGGTATATTTGGGTTCTGCAGCAGCAGCTTCTTGGCGGATTCGAAAGCACCCGCCGCGAGAGAGAGCCTGTAGCGGCTCTCCGCAGCAAAGGACGCGCCCATGTCGAGCATGCCTCCCAGATGCTTATAACAGTCCACAACCGGGATTGCCTCCTGGATGTCCACAAGCTTCAACTCAGGCTTGCCGTCGGTGAAGAAACTGCTTCGTGCCTTTTTGGAGCCCGGGCCATGTAGTCGAAGTAGTACACTTGTTTTGTGTCTCTTGAGGTTCGGGTCCAAACCATGCGAGCGTAGGGTGCCAACGACAATGGCGCAGGTTCTCCTCGTCATCGGTAACAAGTCCTCCGCCTTCGTCGCTTGCAGGGGCAGAGCTGTATCGTCCGCCCAGGTACTGTCCCATGCTTCCAATTTTCTCCCTGTCCAGCCTTGGCAAATATGCCTTGACTCGGGTCGTGGTGCACATGGAACAGCAAACCTTCTCCTGCCAAGTTCTCGTGGATGCGGTAGAGGACCCTCGCGTATATAAACGCAAACAAGGTGTCCGCCCATGCACCTCCTGGGCGCGAGCCTGCTTTCGCTTGACACAGGTGCGTGCCTTGCGAATACCTTGTCACAAAGAAGGTGCCAATGTGAAAGTCACACACCGCCCTCCTTATAGGTCCAGGAATATTGGCCTCGTTCATCATGCCTCCTCGGCGAATGAGCTCGAACAATTCCTGCACATCGCTGCCGTCCAATCCAAAACGCGCAAACAATCTGTAGATTTCCTCATCCTCCGTCAGGACACCGGTCGCGATCTCTCTGACAAGCCTATAATAGGCTGCCCTGCAATCGACGAAGAGGACGGCCGCAG